TAAGGCTAGAAGCAGAATTTCTTGCTTGAGATGAAAATTTGGAGTAACTTGCGGAGTGAAGCCAAACATAGGTATTAGGGCAACTGGATCAGAAAAGAAAGACATGAGTGCTGCCAACTCGGCTGGACCAGCGCAAAATCAAAGCCTCCTTCATATTCTTCTTCACAGAACTGTCCACTCGGGTAGGTTCCTGAACTGGTATAATCGGGGTCTTTGGAGATCAAAAAGTGGACTGATGAGAAATTGTAGATTGACCTGGAGGCAACCCGGACTGTGAAGCAAATTCCTTAAGCAATTCCTGGAACACTTGCTTCATTCAGTTCACAACTTGTAGATTGTCCACCTCTCTATCAATGGTTGCTTCTAAGCAGTTTTCACATGCTGTTTTTACAGGAAGGGCTATGTTCGGGCATTCCCAACAACCCTCTGCAGCTGGTCTGGGATAACAGTGTCTTTCATGCATTCTCAAAGTCTGTCTGGATCCTGATGTGGATCTTAAACGTCTCCTGTGATCATAACGACGAGAGTGTCGTTCGTCTTTGGACGAACGACACTATGCCTAGATGATGCTGAATCCCGTCTGCTGCACCTATTGTGTGCAGGGCCGGCCTTAGGGGTGTGCGAGCCGTGCGGCCGCACAGGGCGCCATGGCAACAAGGGCAGTGATGGCCTCAAATCTGATCTACCTAAACATAGAGACAGCAATCTTCAGACAATCCGCCTCTTCGATCTTTAAATAGATCCAAGAGCAAGCAGGTCACCTACTTTCTCTCAAGAGGCTGGTCTTTGGAACGGGTTGGTATGGCTGAATGCATGCTGTAATACAGAGATATCGACAAGCATGAATATATGCAGGGTTCTCACAATATCAAAGAGAGCATAAGCAAAATCATGCTCTTGTTTACAGAGCTATCTATTTGGGAAGAGTCCAGCACAGAGCAAAGTGGCATGAACAGCGGAAAAAAAGCAGCAAGGTCCTCCATGGTAGCAGAGGATTCAGTTTAAATAGGGTGCTTATCCCTAGCTCCTTCTACCCCATCACAGTGATAGGTGACAGAGCCGCACATGTGCAAAGCATGCAGGGTGATGTGCCCAACAACGAATTGTGCATGTAGAGTACATAAAACCACGCTGTAGCGCACAGACGTGCAGGAGGTCAATCCAGTGGGCCGCGCATATGTGGGAATAGCGGCTTTTCGGGGAACGCACAGCAGGCGCTCCACCACCATACCAGGCAAGAGAAGTTTGAAACCGCACCCTGCAGACAAGAATTGTCCAGATCAGCCCCCGAGGACCAGCAGCGGGGCTTCCCTATCGTACCTCTGTTAGAGATGTCTAGAGGGGAACTTCATCCACGGGATGGACCGCCAGAGCTTTACTCCAGCTAGGTGGGTGACCAGCAGCAATACATTCTACGTTGAGGAGGAGAAACAAGGAACGCCATGGCTGGTGGGGGGTGTAAATGTATGAGTTAGTGGTCCTATGGGCATTGAGGAGGTGGAGCCTAACCCGGTCGTATGCTGCCAGTATGTAATGCATAGCAGAGGAGCAGGGTGCAGATGTCAGGACAGTGTAACGTACAGCAAAGCATACTGAGTGCAGCAGTCAGAAAAAGTAGCTTATAGACTGTAGCAGTCAGGAGTTTGTGGTCAGTGTACCAACTTCATTGTACATACAATATAATGCATACAACCCAGCAGTCAGGACATTTTTAAAATTGATCTACTGGGATATTATACATTTCTTATTTGCTGTAAAGAGGTGATTAGATAGCTTTGGAATCTGTGATGAACATATACTTTACTCAGTGTTAACACACATATGACGTAAGTAAAATAAATGTAAAAATCATTTTGGAGCTGACCCTTGGGGCATAACTCTGAGATAGCTAAATCCCAGAGCTGGTTCCCAGGTCCAGGTACTGAGATTTATAGTGCACACAGCAGAAGAGGATAGTCCAGTGTACAGGCAGTACAGCTCATCACCCACCTGTATGCTGTCTATGCTGATCCTGGCTCTCCTGCTCTGCACCGGTCTGTCAGAGTGTCCTCATGCCCTCCTCGTCTCTCCCTGTGCCAGGTGGGGGGCAGTGACATAGCATGCAGGTGATTATGGCATCTGGGGAAGCCCTGCAGCAGCCTTGTTATGCACTTCCTCCCAGTCGATAGCCACAGGTTAGGGATTTAACACTTACTAACACTTGGTGCAGCTGCAGTACTCTGGTCCCTTTTAATGTATACCAGCACACACACTGCATGAACTGGTATACATCGTAAGCATCACTTTGTGATCTCGGTACACAGTCCGAGACACAACTGCAGTTGGACCACTGACAGAAAAGTGGGACTGTGGCGGCAAATCCAGGACAGTTGGCAAGTATGCATCTGGTTTTGCAATACCCACAGTGACGTGTAAAGCAGAGCCAAAGCAGGAAGTAAGAGTCACCAGAACAGGTATCTTCTCTGGAAGATTTCCCCTCTATTCCTATTCTGGTGACGACTGTAAAATAGGTTTTCTGGTAGAACTGCATTTTAATGCAGTAAAATGCATGTATTTTCCTGCAGGAAAACGATCATGTGTGAAATGGCCCTAATGTTGTGTTCATTCCTTTCCATGCATTTTTACACACATTATCAAAAAATATTCAGTTTCATGCACTTCTATAGACCTATCAATTTTCATTGTGCCGATGCATAAAAAATTCTACAACGGTTAACCTGTGTACGTGGTATGGTGTCTGAATAGGCCCTTTTCACAGAGGTAGTTTGACTTTTCTAGGCTTGCTCCAGACTCATGTGTTGCAGCAATGTGTATTACTGCAATGTTAATGCATTGTACTATGTGTGTTGGATTGCAGGGCTGTCCATTTGTTAGGGAACCGAGAAACCAGACCAAAACTTAAGTGCAGGTTTAAAAAAGTAAAAGGAATTGATTGAAAACAACAATAAACATAAATGCAAAAACAATGGAGAAAGTCCAGGACTTCTTCAGTGCCAAGCCAGGAGTCAGATACCAAAGTGAGTAGTCACCCGAACCAGGCCAGGGAACACTGAGAACGGGATGAACAGAAACGGAGCCGGAGTCAGGAACCAGGAGATCACACAGCCAGAGTCAGGGTCATACATAGAGAACAGGAGCACAGCAGCGCACTTGGTTGATCATAACAAACGCAAGGGCGGTGACTGAATGGACAAGGTGATGGTTGAAGTAGTTGCAGAATGGTGATGTTAACTGGTTTGATCATAAGAAGGCGCCAAAGAGGAACACTAATGTCAGAAACACTACACAAGCCATGCTACAAGCAACTGGACAAGGAAAGTTAAGAAACCCTGAATGGGGGCTAGTCATGTAGAATAACATCCCAAAATACAAGGCCCACATGTCACTTTCTGTTTTTTCATGACCGGGAAAATAATAAACATTTACTATCTCCAGAGTTTATTAATGGACAGGAGGAGCTCTGCATACATCACTTCCTGTTCATTCATAACTAGGGATATAGTAAACTTACTATATCTCCTCAGTTTGTGAATGGACAGGAGGTACGCTGTACTGAGCATTTCCTGTTCAGTAAGTGTTGAGGCTGCAGAGAAGGAGATTGAGAACTCAATGGGGGGAATTTATCAAAACTGGAGCAGACAAAATCTGGAGCATATTTGCACTACAACCAATCAGCTTCTCTCCCTCAGTTTCAAATCTTCCCTGAGCAAACTGAAGAGAGATGCTGATTGGTTGCCATGGGCAACTGCTCCAGATTCTGTTTGCTCCAGTTTTGATAAATTCCCCTCCAGACACTTTTTCTAACTCAAAATGGAAATATCAGGGGTTTGTTTAGACTTTAGGCTCCCTGACAGTAAAGTAAAAAAAATACATAAATAAATAAAAAATTATTAAAAAATAATAAAATGGTTAAGAAATAAATAAAACACAACCACATAACATACACATGCAACAGCGTGCACCATATTGTGGTGTGTTTTATGCACATGTGCTGCGGTGCAATACATTGCAATGCTTGATATCCCCCCCCCCCTTTTTTTCCTTTTTAAAATAACATTAGTTAAAGGAGAACTATGGGGTTAGGGCTTTTCCCCATAGTTCTCCTTAGGGTAACGGGATGCCGTTATGTGTTCGCTCACTTCCCGATCTACTGAGCCGACCTGTGACAGTTTCATTGTAACAGGTCGGCTAGAACTATGAGGTGAGTGAAAAGCACTCACCTCATAGTTCTCCTTTTAAGCTGTGTGTGACAATACATGACAAAGCATTGTGACACATTGCCGTGTGTTGTAATATACTTCATTGCAATTAAATATATGTCTGCCTCATTTTATCGCAACACACACCAATGCAGCACACAAACAGCACTGCAGATCAGGATTACTGTAACACATAGGTGTGAGGCCAGCTTTCAGATTTTTAGCATACCTTGCTTATTCACAGTTTTGTGTACCTTAATTTTTTTAAATTCAGCAAAAAAAGGCGCAATTTTAAATGTACAAATATTTGTTATTTATTAACTCAATACAGTTTTTCCTTTTATATTTTGTAGGAATATTACAAATTATGTTTTTTTCTGTGTGCACTGATAATTATTTTAGTGTATGTTTATTGAAAATATTGATTTGATAAATATTTGCACAACCATCTTTTATTTCTACTTGTCCTGTGCTTTCACAAAATGTATGGTTTGTGGGGTCTTTTACACTCTGAAAGCTGCAGTTAATAATAAAAAAAAAAAGTTAAAAGTGCAAAAATGGTCTGGCCAGCTGAGGTTAAAAGTGGAGTGCAGGGCCTGGCATCGAAAGGGTTAAGTTGAGTTGACAGCCCATTCAAAATGAATGAGATGTCTTAATGCAAAACACACAAAACAAGCATATAGGGTCCCTCAAACTGCCGGATTTAAAGATATGAGTTAAGAAAAAACACTCCTTGGAGTTCCTCTTCAAATTTATGGGATTTATTTTGCTAATTCCGTGATTATTTTATTGAGCTCTCCATAAAAGTAATTGCTTATAATCAAATCATAAATCCTGAAAATGTGGTGTCATCATCTGAATCAGCATAGAGACCATTTTTTTCCTGATAGACCTCTAGCCAAGCCTTATCTCCTTTTTTCATGACTAGAATAGAGGCACCGGAAGCTTGCTGAGTGCCTGAACTATACACACTATACATGTATTGCACATTCTGACTGTTATGTTTTAGTGTAAGATGTACATTTTTACCATACACTGTGATGTGGTAGGTTAGATAATATACACCGTCTACCGGAGAGGTTAAAATTCCAGTTTCTACATTGTAGACATCATTCTCATTGTAAAATACTTTCTGAAACTTAATGGGAGTGCCACCACTTGGATTAGATGTTTTTAGTCCGACGTGAAAAGCATTTCTGCTGGGACATGATCCAGGTTGACCTTTGAGTCCTGGAGCACCAGGGAAACCTATCAAACCAGTCGCTCCTGGAGGACCCATTTTCCCTGGGGGGCCATGTGGACCTTGTTCTCCTGGTTTACCTGGTAGGAAATAAATGGACAAAAACATCTTCTGAAAAGCATCTGGTACTTTCTTGATTGTAAAATACAGAATACAGGCAGTATGGGTAATATGGTGGTATCATCAGGGGATTGGACACTGGCCAGAGTTGTGAGGGCCATCATATAACCCCCACTCCAGGAAATCCCCAGTTATTTTGCAAGTGTCCTTATGTGGTGGATGTCTCCTCACTACTAAGGGAGTTGTCTGGTAGTTTAGTTACCTTTTTTCTGCGTTTCTTCTTGAAGATCTTTGTGGCTGCTGCTCACATGAGGCAACCTCGCAACTTCCGGATTGGTGCCTTATGGCAGCAGCTTCAGGGACCATACCCAGACCCCACTGGACAGAAGATGTGGGGCCTGCCTACAGTGTTGCTTGCTTTGGGCACTGGATTCTGTGTTAGGCGCCCACACTGGCACGTGGTGTCGCACAAATTGTTTTTGTGTGAAACATTTGTTTGTTTCCCCCCCCTTCCCCACTGCTAGCTCTGCTTCACAAAATTTGTCTTTTTCTGCCCACACTCCCTAGCGGTTCCTTAAGCACACAGGCACTGCTGTGGTGGTCCTGCTGCCAGAGCATGCTCAGTATGCCACCAGTGGCCATTTTGGTATACTAGACTGCCCTGTTAATGCATGTAGACTGGTACAGTGGCCATCTTTGTACTCCCCCTAATA